GGTCCCTGTGCTTTGCTAAGCTTGTTCTAAGTAGGTGCTTTAGACCACTGAGCCATCTCACCAGCCCCTTGTTTTTGTCTTTCTTGAGTTTATGTCAAGTTAGAAAATTATAGAACTCTAAGTATTCTGTAACCTTTTCTGCAGATATTTAACGGCACCCTCGCCTGGTTATATGCCACTGATAGACAGAGCAACTTGATTTCTTTCTTCTGCATATAATAGGCTAAGAGCCACTGAGCTATCTCCCCAGCCCTTGATGGACATCTTACATCTATTTTCAATTCACTTGTCTATTTTCAATTCACTTTAGACTGGTTTTTTGTTTGTTTGCTTTTTAAAGAACCAATGAGCTCCATTAGACTGGCAACAAGAAATTGGTGCCATCCCAGGAGTTAGTGACAACATTGCCTCTAGGGGTCTCAATTCCAGAATAATCTATGCCCCAGAGCCACCACAGACCTCCCTATAACTGAATGGTAATGCAACTGTGTGTGATTTGGAAGACAAATCCATCAAATGTGGAAAACTCAGCCATCAATAAGCAGCTCTGCCGGCCTTACAGCAAGGACCAACCACAGAACTGGCTCTCCATCAACAATCAAACAGTCTTTAGCTGTGATCGGCCACTTCCATCACCTCTGGAGACTGGTAGTTTTCCAATAAAGCCAATAGCCCCCTACCCCGGGGTAAGGTCATCAGCAGGAGGCAGCCATTGTCTTTCAGCCCAGCAATTTGACAACAGTGTTAGCTTACACTCTATTAGCCAGCCGCTACACCCTGACCCCTGACCCTGACATTGACCTCCCATGGCCTTCTCCTGAGGTAGACTCTGATCTTTTGAGGTGGCCCACCCTGCTGGTTAGCACAAGAGAAGGCCCGTCAGGACTGTGTAGGGGTCTCTGGTCACCCTTGCTCCCAACAAGATGCTTAAGGCTCAAAGTACAGAAACAAGCTGGAGGTGAACCCATGATGGCAAAGGTGAAAGTTCAGGAGCATATCCATCAGCAGCCTGTCACACAGGACGAGGTAAGAACTGTGGAAGCTTTCAGCGCAGGGATAGCCATTGTCTCTAGATGGTTCTGCAACTTAATGGAAAAGACATATCAAAATATGGCTTACAAAATACAAAATAATGGACTGAGATGTACATTATATGAGGGTGTTAGATTGCAATGTACTTTACAGTGGGGGAATTAGATTGAAGTGTTATGCCAGGGTAGTTAGGCTGAAATATGGATTATCCTAGGAATGTTAGCTTGAGATGTGCTTTATAACACAGTTGTTAAATTAAGATGTGCTCGGCAGTACAGACATTAGGCTGAAATGTGCATTATAGCAAAGTTGTTAGGGGAAGATGTGGATTCCGCTTGGGAAGGGGGGTGGATAAGAGAGAGGAAAAACACCTTGGATTGAATATTATTCAAGGTTATAGGATGTCTCCTACATTAGATGGATTTCAGGGTTTTAAATGTAGGGAGTAGGAAAGAGCATGGAGTATAGTGTTTTTTCCCTTCTTTCTCTCCAGCCCAACAATCTGCCACTTTCCCCACTTTTCCTGTTAGGGCCTTAAAGGCCTCCCCCCATCAATAAAAACATTAGCTCACTAAACAGCCTGATGCCTTTTCCTTCCCTAGCTTAACCCTTCGGGAGCTGGGGTTTCCTTTGGATTTGTAAAGATATTGATTCCAGATAATGTTTGCCTTTCTAACTCTCTCTTCCTTAGACTTGATGGATAGGTTCAGGGCTCCATCTCGGCAGCCAACTCACCGCAGCTACCCAGGGAAAGGGGGTGGAGAGCAAGCAAGCGTTCAGTAGTTAACACTGCCTGAATTCCTTCCCTGGGATGGACAGGCAGAAACGTCCTGGCTGGGAAAAGTGTGGAGGCTGCAGTCACTTTAAATCAGTGCTGGATTTCACTTTCAGTTTTCCTCATTCTTCTCCTGATTCCTCCACCACTATTGCTTCAGTTCATCTTAGAGATTCTATTATTTCTAATCAATAACAGATGCCATCTTGGAGCTGGCTGCCCTGAGTTGCCTCCCTACAAATTCCTTTTCCCAGTTCAAGAATGTGCTTTTCTACAATGTTAGTAACATCGATGAACACAGGTAACTGTGTCAACTTGCTGCTGATCCAGGCCAACATGGGAAGGACTTCAATAACCTTCATCGTTGACAGAAATCTTATTCAAGGAAACAGTAAAAAAGGGATGGGAAGATCATCTCCCAGTTAACCACTCATCCTACAAATGTTCACCAAACAGCTCCCTAACAATGTTTTTGCCCTTTCTTCTCTTCCTTAGCTTGGGAGATACAATTCACAGCCTCCAGAAGTCTAGCCTGGCATGATTGGATGGTGTCCAGCTTTGCCGGAATCAGAGAGATGAGTTCCAGCTCTCTTGTTTCTCAATGAAAGAAAACGTTATAGCAGGTGAGCTAACACAGCCAAAAAGACTAACCTACCAGACAAGGACACCAAACAAAACCAAATAGTTCAAAGGAAATTGCAGTGTTACTAGACACCTCCGCATTGTGCCTGAGGTGCCCAACATGAGCAGGCGGATGTTTCCGTCCCTGTCGGGCTGTATTTCTCTAGTTAGAAAGATGGGTTTGCTGTCGGACTTAAGCCTTTACCTTTTGTGGCTGCACTTTCAGGGGGTGGGGGGAATCAGTGGATGTGACAGAAAGATGGCATCCAGGTTTATTTTTTTTTAAAAAAAAATCAGCTCTTCCCAGCTTCATCTGTCTTCGCCAGGGCTCTCCCTGTTCTCACTCCTCATCTTTGGGCATTTCCTGCTGTATGTTCTCTACTCTTCTTGGTGTCCATTTCTGCCTCATTTTCTGACATCACGTTTTCCTTAAAAATAGGCTATGTGAGCTATTTCTAATCTCCGTCAAGGGATCTGTCTGCCCAGACTCCCACGGGATGTGGGAATGAACTTAAAAATCAATCCTGGAGAAGAAATGGGGGAGGGCAGGATAGAAAGGTTGGCTTGTTCCCAGACTGTTTTTAAGCACTCTTCTATTGGGCTAAGGGAGCTGTTTGGGACCCCACCCTAGGAGAGGAGCTACCCTGCAGCTCTCTTTAAACATCACCCCAGACCTCACTCCAAATAGCATCGTGCACAATTGCGGCGGCCTAACGTTCCAGGCAAATTTAGAGTCCCTACCAAACTCCACACTTAATCCCTTTGTGAATCTGAGACAAACCTTTCCCAAAAACATGTTCTCCCTCCAGCAAACAGAGATAGCAATAGTACCTGCCACACAGACTGTTGTAAATGTCAAGCTGGCTATGAAATCCACGAGGCTCAGTCTGGTGCAAGCCACGGAGCACTCACTAAACAGTCACTATTAACTTTATCATTTTATCTCCACACCAGCAACTAGCAGGGTAAGTGTGTCAATTCACTACAAGCTCCTGCGGCATCATCACACACCACAATAACCCTTGTGTATGGGTAACACATCTGATTTTAAAAACTTACTGTATCTTTCAACATTGCTCCTTATCCTTATTTATAAAGAATTTTCTCTGTACAGAAGATAGGATGGCCCTATAGAGGAGAGACAGATCACAAGGGCCTCATTGACAAATATAATCCCCTATCTATACTCACTGGGACCTACTCATGACTGTATTTCAAAGGTAACAGTTCATCTCCACCATGAGTATTGTTGTACAGTCCATAAATAGGACCTAATGTGATCTGACAGGCCCAATTCCTCTAGATATATATTAAAACAACATGGCCAGTGCTATGGCTCAAAGGTCCTGGCCTTTAACAAGGACTTATGACGTAAGGCAACCTGCCCAGGAGGACAAGCAGGCAGAGGCCTGAGCGACAAGGTCATCGGCTAATGAAGTGGTCATCATTGAGTTTCTGTCACTCCTCTAGTTAAGAGGAAATGAAGAGGGAAGTTTTTTTAAAAAATGGGAACATTTAAGAAACAAAGGGAAGGGTGACATTTGCGCCAGTGTCCCAGACACAAATTGATATAGTCCGAGCCCTCATTGCGGCCTTGTTCAGTATTACAAGTTGAACACAGGCTGGCTGAAAGAGTATTTGCAGAAAGCTAACTCAGTATAAATTCTAAGTTAGAATAAAAATAAACAGGTACTCAACCATCCTCCTCTTTGATTCAAATCTGCCCCAGACTCCCACCAAAAGCACAGGCGTAGAAGTGGATTCCCGACTGGCTCTCTCTCTCTCTCTCTCTCTCTCTTTCTCAGACTAACTGTCTCCTGAACAATCACAGCAGCAGCATCTAGAAAACCTGAATAATAACAGTATCTGCCTACAAGAGAGACTGGTAGGATTAAGTGAGAACCTTTATGTGAATGAATTACCATAGTGCTTGGCACAAAGCGATTGCACAAAGGTCACCGATTATTATTGTTATTCCACATACTCTAACAATCTTAGAAAGTGTGAGAGGCTTTAAGATGAATAATAAATTGTGTATGGTACAGTAGGAACACAATTCAAATGTAGGTGAGGTTTCACAGTGGCCATCTCTAATGTTTCTCATTGGTGGGGCAATTTGAACTTTTGACCCATCAACAAGCGTTCAACCAGTCAACAAGCATTGAAAACTACTGCATTAGGCTCCACACACAGCACTGTGTTGAAACAGAATCATTTCTAATTCTGTTCTTCACAGCTTGGCCAGGGCGACAGAAACATGGAGACATGAAACAGTAGTAGTAGAAGGTTGTAAGAATGAGCTGTAATTGGGGCAAGCAAGTCTTCTTGAAAAGATCAAGAAGTCAAAGAGATGAAAACGTTCCTACATGTTCTGTCACTATAGAGCCTCCAAATGATGGAACAGGATGTGTCAAGCTGAGGTTTCTCTCCCTGTGGACATGGTGCATTTTATGTATGAAAAGATGGAGGCCCAGCAGGCTAGACCATGCCTTTGTTTGCAGCAGTCAACAGTAGAGCTGAGACTGTCTCCCAACCTGCCTTGTCCCCAGAGCACCTTCTCAGCAGCAGCACCAGGAGGGATCTAGACCACTGGTAGCCTTTCTGGTCCAAAAACTTTCTTCATCATCAGCACTTCCTTCAGATGAGGATTAGAATCCAACTTTTGAGTATCCCAAAGCACAAACATGCAGAAGCTTTTATATTCATTTCTAGAATTGTTAAAAGTGTTCTTTTTAACCCTTTTCTGTCTTCCTTCAACAAAGGAAGCTCTGAGAAGAAATCAGGGCCAGCACCCAGGTCTCAGCAGTGTGGTGTCTCCTTCAAGTTCCACCCTCTAATGTCTCAGGTGCCCCAACTAGGAAACTTTGTTCCTTACTCCCTGCCCATCTCTGTCTTATGAAAGTGATATGAGAATAAGCTGAAAGCACTGATTTGAGGAAAAGTGTCCAGTGTAAACAACGACCAAATTGCCCTGCCACTGCCTGGAAAGTCAAGCTGAAGCATCACTGGGGCAGCCTATTCCCTATTCCCATTGTGACCTCACCAGACTTCTTTCCAGGATTCAGTGCCTTGAGTCACTGTGGGGCTGGCAGACTGTGGGGCATGACAACTTAAATGCCATTGCCCAAGCCTGTTCTTTTTGCTTTCAAATATGAATCTAGCTTTAAGGTTTTTTTTTTTTTTTTCTGACTGCAAAGATAACATGAAATATCTGGAAGCATGTCAACAGTTTATAAAAGCATAAGGAAAATGAAAATTACCCCGAATTCTACCTCCCAGAAGAAACACTGTGAACCCAGGCTTCATCCTATCAGATTTCTTTCATCTATACATACTATAGAAGCATCTTACTTGATAGCAGAAGTGCACATGTTATCCACAGCTTGTACTATCAATGAGTTACAGATTTCCACGTTGCTTTTCAAGGCCTGCCTTACATTCTAGTGTTGGATGTACCATCATTTATTTAACTCAGTATTAGTGGGCAATAATAGTACAAAAAATACTCCCAGTAAACATCTCGGCAGGTAGCACATCTGTCCAGTTGTCTCTTTCAAGTAAATTCCTGTTAGAACTACTGAAGACACTGTCCCCTTCA